CTGGTCTCAAACAAGCACAGTCCATACCTACATAGCGTTTATTCACTGACCTCGGCTGCCTTCAGAGTAGATTCATGCCCAGGCTAAGGTTCTTCATCCCACCTTCTGCTCACTCCTTTCAGGAGCCCCCTCCAGGCCATGTGCTCATCTCCCCACCCTCTATTGTAAGTGAAAAATTGAGTAGCCAGCCTAATCAAAGCTGTATCGGAGCTAAGATTCTGGTCCTCTGTAGCTTCAGTTCCACATCAACGTGCATTCTCCTGGTTATCTGCTCACACCAGCTCCCTGCACACATCATGCTCCCCAGGGAATCACTCGCCTGCTGGTCACACCCACCCCAGTGACAGCTTTACTTCTCTCTATTGCACAAACTTAGTCACACCTAGTTGCACACACTAGCTTGCAACAACTGGTTACACAAACATAGCAGCACACCCCCAGTCACCCCCAGCTGCACATGCTCTGTTTCGTCAATCAGCTGCACAGGCCCAGTCTTTCAGTTGCACACACTGACACACTCATCGGCACACCCTGTTGATGTCTGTGAAGCTCAATTCATGCAACCCCTCCTCCCCACCCAGCCTCAGGTCTCTCCTAGGACAGGCAACCCTTAGGAGGAGAAAAGGTGACCTGCTGGTAGCAGATATGGATTATGAGTGCAGAGGTGGGGCCCCAGGGAACCTCAGGGGGTCCATTCTCCCTCCAGCATAATTGCACCCCACTCAGGAGTCTGCACCAGGCCTGGGAGCCCTCACCTTCCTTCACTCCAATCCCAGGAGCCACTTCTCTGGAACTGTGGCCTGTGGACCCATTCCGGGTCAGGCTGATCTCCCCCAGGCCTGCTGACCTCTGTCCAAGAGGCCTAGTGCTGCACTTGCAGCTTAGGGATGCACCCATTGCCCACCCAACCTATGCACACACAGTTCTACATTCCAACTACCAGCACCCAGCACACCAACAGTTCCAGCGCCAGGCGCATCACCTCACTGCCAGCAAAACGGACTTCGTACTTCTCCGCCTGACAACAGGAGCCGCCTACCTGCTGGCCCGCAGGACCCCACTCCTCTCAGGTTCCAAGTGCCCTGAAGCACCTCATCCTCTCCACTCTGGGCCCCTTATCCAGTCACTCCTTCACCTCCTAGGCCCCCTTATACCCTTTCCCTGTGCATGTTTGGGGGGTGCTATCTGTAGTCTCAGCACAAATCACTTTCTGGGACCCAAGAAAGAGGGGTCGGTGGTGGGGGTAGGTAGTGAAGCCAAGGTGCCCCTGGGTTCACGTGGCTGAGGACATGCAGGACCGGGTGAGTGGACTTCCCTGGATCTGGAGGCTGAGAAGGGTGGGGAGGAGGGGGTCCCCGCGGCGACCGGCAGGGGCGGAGGGGAGGCGCGCGGCCCCAGCCCGTCCCTTTCAGGGGGGACTCATGCATCAAACTTCAATTTTCCGGACGATTGAATTAGTGATTTTTTTTCTCCTGAACTAAAATACACTTAAGTCTTTGGGATTAATTACCACGTTCTGGTCCCTCAGACTGGAGTATTACTTATCGGAGCTGCGTCTGACACCGGCCCGACACCTCGTAAAATAAGGAACTGCGCCTCCCGGCCTCACCCGGCGCCACCCGCCGGGCCGGCCCGGGAAGGAGGAGCGGGGAAAGCCGAGGCAGCTGGCTCGCGCGGTGGGGCCCGGCCCGGCAGCGCGCGGCAGGGTCCCAGGCCCGGAGAGCAGAGACCGCCCGCGTTCCGGAGCTTGGCAAGCCGGGCCCAGGCCCCGGACCAAACAGGGAAGGAAGAGGCCAAGCCAGGCCGCTTCCCCTGCGCGGCTGGGAACCGAAAGTGGGTCTGCACAGAGGCCACCGTCCTCGGGGAACCTGCCTGCCACAGCCCCGGGGGTGAAGGAACTCTGGCCACAGGGCGGGTGGCCCAGAGGGTCCCAAGCCTTAAGGAGCCTCGCTCCGTGAATGGGCGCAGGGCCCGCAGCCCCTCACGCCATCCACGACACACTCATTCGTACACTCACGCGCGGGGAGTGCCACGGAACGCGTGCGGCCCGCGCCCTCGGAGCGTACGCAGGCGGTGCACAGGACTCAGCGGGCGTCCCCGAGGCCGGCCGAGCCGGCGGCCGCTAAGAGGCCCAGGGCCGCGCTAAGATTCGAGGCCGTCTCACATCCCAGGTCCCCAAGGTAGCTCCCGGAGCGCGGCCAAGCCCCCTCCCCGCCCCCCAGCGCTCCAGTCAGAGCCAGGAGAGCGGAAGAGAGAGTGGGTCTGAGCCCAGGCCTCCCTGACTCCCTGACCCTCGCTCCCGCCTGCAGACGACCGCTCAGCCCCTGCCCACCGCCGCCTTCTCCCTGCGCCAGGGCGCCGGGTAACTACCCCACGCCGCGGCGCTGCGTCGGACCGAGACTGGCCCAAAAGGCCACGCACGCTGGCAGCCCGGCTCCGGAAGCCCACTGGCAGCCTGGCAGAGGCTTCACATCCAGCAGAGCCGAGGAGGCTGATGGGGGGGGGGGCTGTATGTGCTCGAATGCGCTCCCCAAACTATGCGGGACCCAATGCGCGGCGCGCTCCCCCCAGGCCTCCTCGGTTCGCCCAGCCTAGGGCTCTGGCTTACACCTCTCTCCGCTTCCCACCGACGACCGTCTGGCCCTTCCTTCGCCCGCCCTTCTTTCTGACCTACAGAAACAACGAATTCCTTCTCATCTTTCAAGGCCTGGGTCCAATGCCACCTCCTCCGGGAAGCCCCTACGACCCCAAGCCCAGAGCCAGCTCTCCCGGTTCTGTGAATGGCATTTCCCTGCCGCAGAGCCCTGGCCTCCTGATAGCGCCAGGAGGGTGCAACGGTGGTCGTCCGCTAGACTGGGAGCTACTTGAGGGCAGGAACTGCATCTGATTTGTTTCCATTTCCCCAGCCCCCGGCGCGGCCCGGAGCAGAAAAGACGCACAATAAACATTTGCTGAATGGAGTGGATTTTTCTCTTTATTTTATGAATCCTTCCCCTTCCGTCTTTCCTTCTTTCTTTTCCTCTTTCCTTCCTCCCTCGTTATTTTTTATTTCTTGGTTATATTCAATTGTCATGTTTTTCAGGCTCATTAAATCCATTTAGAGACAAAAGAATAAAAGGCAGAAGGGGAAGGAGGGGGAGGAGGGAAGGGGGAGGGGAGGGGAGGGGAGGGGAGGCCGGAGAAGCAAACAAATAACCCGCTTTAACTAGACGGGCGGATAAATGGCCCCGTTTCTCCTCAGCCCCGATGCGCCTGCTTAGCTGCGCGCCCCGCGGGCGCCGCAGCTCGGGTGGGCTCAGCCCCGGGGCCGCCGCCCCCAGCCCGGAGGGACCCAGCAGGGCCCGGCCCGGGGCAGCGAAGCAGCGAGCGGCCGGAGGTGCCAGGGCCGCTTCATTGGGATTCATGGGCGTGTTGGGCGGGCGGCCCCGGGCTCCCGGCGAGGGGCGGGGGCCGGGCGGGGGCCGGGCGGGGGCGGGGGTGCGCACGGCGGGCGCAGATGCCCGAGTGACCGCCGCGCCGCGGTCCCCGCGCCGCCTTTGTGCCGGGGAGGCGCGCGCGGGGACCTAATCCATCAAATTGTCTACAAATTGTGAAGAAAATTCAAAAACCATATGGTCGCCAGCGCCGGCGCGCTCTGGGCTGCGGAGGGCCGCGGCCGCGCCCGCACCCGGAGCCGCGGGGGGCTGGGCCCGGCTATTGTCGCCTGTCAGCGGCCGCCCGGGTCCATTCGTCCCGGCCTTCATGGTCCGCGCTCCGAATTACAGACCCATCCATCCTGAGAGAGGGCGATTTATGTCGCCCGGGAGGATCCGGCCGCACGCCCGCCTGGCTGCCCCGCTCTCCTCCTTACGTTCTCTCCTCTCTCTTCTCCCCCTTTCCCACTCCCTTTCCATTCCCTTCTTCTCCGTTTCTGTCTCTCTGTCTCCGTCTCTCCTTGTGAAGCTTTTCCTCTTTCTCCACCCCCCGCCCCCCGCGCGCCCTGTGGCTCTCGCTTTCTGGCTCTGCTTTTGGAGTGTCTTTCTGTGCTTGTTCTGTTTCTCTGTCTCTTAGTTTCCTCCTGGACACGCACGCTCCCGACTCAGGCCCCGGGGCCCCATCGCCTGCCCGAGACCAGATGCGCATTTCTCACATCAATTTTGCGGAGAAAGAGAGCCGAGCGGCCCGGAGGCGGGACCCTCCTTTGGTGACAGCGGCCACTCGCCAGCCCAACGAAAACAAAAGCCCAGAGAGAAACCCGCTCTGTCCGGAAAAGTAAAAGCTGCCTGCGTCCCTGCCCTGGCCGCCCTCAGGGCTCAGGGACTCCAGAGAGTCCTGGGGAGATTGATGTCTCTGCCCAAAGCCGAGTTGGGGGGGATAGAATCTGTGAATGTTACCAGAAATTCACCCCAACTCTCAAATGCTTCGGGCTCACACCTCCCCGTGCTTGTGTGCGCAATTCAGCTTGCCCTTGGTGCCTCGTTTTTCCTCCTGTCCCCAAAGGCAAGGCCCTCCGGCAGAACCAAAACTTGGGAGCCCTCGGGCTGCACCCTGCTGCGGACCGAGAGATACCTGCGTCCACCTGACGCTTAGCCCGAGCCCCGCAGAGTGGGGAAGAAATGCCCTGGGGTGCAGGTGGGATGCCAGCCGCGGGGCAAGTCCCCCCACCCACCCAACCTTTACCCTTCTTGAAATTAATTTTCCAGTCGTGGAGCCCCTAATGTACACACTCTTTCTCCCAGCAATACACGCCTCACTTTTTACCCGGACCTGACGAAGCCCGCTTCTCTCGCCCCCACCTCCAATTTGGTAGCTGCCGCGCGTTTCTGGGTGAGAGGCGCCTTCACCTCCTGCTTTCCCCTCACCCCTTATTCTCGAGCCTGCCCTGAAACTCCTCCATATTCTCCAAGGCCTGGGCAGCCGGCAGCGAGCAGCGGTGAGACAGGGAGTCGGCCGCAGCTTCCCCGAATAGGGCCCACTCATTCAGACACGGTCACCGCGGGTTCTAGTAAAATGGCAAAGACTTTATTTATCGGAGAAAGAGGCCTTGGGTACAGTCCGGGGCAGAGAGGGCAGGAGCAGGGAAGGGGCACGCGGGACCCAACCTCATCGAGTCGCCCTTGTCTGGCCAAGTAGAGCTAGGAGCAGGACGTTGGAGACTGCAATCAGACCCAGAGCTGCGGAGGAGGTGGGGTGAGGGCTTCGGGTGGCCTCCTCTCAGTCTCTGTCACATGCAAAAAAATTCTAAAAAGAGTAAAAAATAATTCTAGGGCTTTGGGTTCCATTTTAGTTGGCTGATTGGCTGGATTTCCCCCTGCTTTGTCCCTAAGACCCGGACCCCAGCAGTCAATCCAAGGAAACGGAGAGAGGGAGGAGGAATCTTAAAAATAGCATTAGTGGGCATCAGGAGGCAGAAATGGCATCGAAAACAGACTTTTGGGGACGGGGATGGGGGAGAGAAAAGATCGATTTGAAACTTGCAAGTCAGGACCCCGGCTGTCCCCCTCAGTCCCTTCCCACAAGGGGAAAAAGGTTAGAAGGAAATAAGTCAACTGCAATAGGCCTAGGGAGGCGAGGAGGAAGAGGGCCAGTGCATTCGCCACATGCAGAGAAAAATCAAAACAGTTGGGGCGGGCCCCCTCCTCCAGACCACGGGGTTAAGTGTTGGTTACCCCTCGATACTGCCTCACCCTCAGCAAACCCGGCAGCCTGAGAGCTTTGAAAACGTGGAAATCTCCGAGATTTTAAAAAAATAAAAGAAAGAAAGAAAGAAGTCAGGCTGAGGTGGGAAGAACCCGCTATATAAGTTTAAATATTTATACAGAAGCCATACAGAATTGCACGGCGAGGGCTCCCGGGGCGGCCAAGGCCGCTCGTAGCGGCCGGCCCGGCCGGCCAGCCCGGGTTTATTGCTTCGAGAGGGAGGAGGCGGCTGCCGGGAGCTGAGTCCGGGCCAGGGACAGGAGAGAAGGCGGGAGTTGCAGAGGAGGTCCCAGCTCCCCTCGGCGGTCCGGGAGGCGGCGGGCATACCGGCGCTAGGGGCCCGGCGCGGCGGAAGATCCCGGGCGCGGCTCAATCGTCCACGTCGATCTCCTCATCTTCCTCGTCCTCTGAGCAGTCCTGGCTGCTAGCCGGCTGGTCCGTGAGCGGGGAGGCGGGAGAGAGCTGCAGGGGCCCGGCGCCCGGGGCCTGCTGGGCGCCTGGAGGGAGCGCGGGAGAGCCAGGCCTCGACTTGGCCCTGCCGCAGCCACCGCCCCCGCCGCCCGCGGCCTCCGAGTTCTGCTCGAGTTCGGCCAGTGCCACGATGTCCATCTGCCCGCTGGGGCCCAGTTTCTTGGCGGACTCCACATCGGCCTTCATCTCCTCCAGGTCCCGCTTGAGCTTGGCGCGCCGATTCTGGAACCAGGTGATGACCTGAGCGTTGGTGAGGCCCAGCTGCTGCGCGATTTGGTCGCGATCGGCGGGGGACAGGTACTTCTGGTAGAGGAAGCGCTTCTCCAACTCGTAGATCTGGTGGTTGGTGAAGGCTGTTCGCGACTTTCGCCGCTTCTTAGGGGTCTGCCGCTGCCCAAAGATGGTCATCCCGTCGCGGCCTGCGAGGAAACCATAGTATAGGCTTGCGCCAGGGGAGAGGAGACCACACCCCGGCTCTCGCTTACCCCACCCAGGCCCCTCTGGCCTGAGGTCTGCTGCAGTTACCTTTTCAGACTTGATTCGGCCTGGCGGACTAGGGCAAGCCTCGCCTAAGGCAAACCTTCTAACCCCCAACTCTTGTCTACCGGAAGTCTCTAGGAAAAATTGTTTTAGTCTCTGCTCCCCACCCAAGTGTTGATTTGAAAGACCCAAGGTCGCTAGAGCACAACGAAGCCAGACAGGGACGCCCTGACTGCCGGGTGAATGTTGGTTCTATACCTCTTCCCAATTACCTCGACTCTATCCTTATCCAAAAGATCCAATCTGAAAGGATCTCCGTTCCCCAACCCAGGAACAGGGCAAGGAGCGCCCAGGCCACTGGGAACAGGAGGGAGCCAAGCAGAGCAGGCAAACTGCGGAGAGATCTTGGGTTACCGCCACCCCTCCTGGGTCACTGAACTCTGGCCTATCCAGAGGTCCCTAGGAAATAGGGTTTGGGTCCTGTCCCACTCATTTCCACTCCCAGCGGCAGCAGCTTGGGCTGGAGGGCCCTGACGGCAGGCGCGGGAGGAGGTGGGCAGAGGCACAGGGCACAAAGAGTAGGGCACGGGGAGCGGGTCGTGGGGTACTGGGAGCACGGGAACCCAGCAGCGGCGCCTACCTTCGGCTGCCTGCAGGACGCTGACCTCCAGCCCCTTAAAGGTCTTGCTGGCGAGCTCCTCCAGCGCGCACAGCGGCGAGGTCTGCGAGAGCAGCGCGCGGCCCGCCAGGGGCAAGCCGCCCGGCGCGTGTTTGTCCGCGGCCGCCAGCAGGTGCGCCGCCCCGCACAGCGAGTAACTTCTCCGCACAGACGGCTTGTTGAGGATGTCCTCGATGCTGAACGGAGTCAGCGGTTTGTTGGAGTTGGCGGGTGGCGGCAGGTGATCCAGCGGGCTGCGCCGCCGCTCTTCCCCCGGCGCCGCCTTGCCATCCTCCTTGGAAGTCATCTCGGCCTCGTTTGGGGGCCCGGCCGGGGCGGCTCGGGACGCGGGGACCCAGCCCGCGGGCAGCTCGGGCGCCGGGCGGCGCGGGTGGGTGGCAGCGGCGGGCGGGAAGGAGGCCGCGCCGGCCGGGCGCGGGGCCGGGCGCGGGGCCGATTAGCGCAGCGGCAGAGGCGAGCAGAGCCGCACGGGGCCCCGGGAGGAGGGTGCTGACGCGGGCGCCGCCGCCGCCGCCGGGGCTTCCAGCAATCCGGGGCCCGAGCCGGGGCGCGCCGCGCGGGGCTCCAGTTTCGCCAGCCCCGGTGCTATTTAAAGGTGTCAGGTGGCTCCGCGGCGGCTCCTGGCCCCGGGTCCTGGCGGCGGCAGTTGGAAAAGCCGAGGCGAGGGCGCCGATCCCGTACTGCGAGGGGAGGCGGAGAGATGGGGCAATTGACTATTGCTAACAAGTTAGCCTTGATCGAGGAGTAATCAATTATCTGCAGCGGCACTTCTCTATTTCTCTCTCCTTTCTCCCTTTCTCCTCTCTCTTCTTTCTCTCTGTTCTCTCTCTTCCTGTTCTCTCTCCCTCCCTCTCTCTCTCTCTTCTCTCTTCTCTGCTCCCCCCCCGTCTCTCTCCTTCTCTTCCTCTCCCTCGCCCTCTCTTTCACTCTCTGTCTGTCCAATGCAGGCGGCTCTAAGTTGGGAAGCTCATTAATTAGCGGGCCGGGGGTAGGAGGAGCCGGCTGGAATTAGCCTGCCTAATGCGCCTGTCAGTCCGGGCGCTGCGCCGCGCTCGGCCCGAGCTGTTTGTAAATTACATTAGCGGCGCCTTTATTGCACCCGAACCTCGGGCCACTCAAAAGCCGCCGCCCCCACCCCAAACTGCGAGCCTCGCTCCGGGCGCACCCGCCTCCCGCCCGCCTGGCTGCGATGGTAGCGCTGGCCCGGAGGTCTCAGGCTCTCCGACCCGGGATTTGGCGCCCGAGAAGGGCGGTGTGAGCCCAGCCGGAGAGGGACTCGGCCGCCGCGCGGGCCAGGTAAGACCGGGAGCCTGGGTGGGCCCCGCCGCCGCCCAGTGCGGACTTTGCCCAGCTATCAAAGGACCCAGCCTCCCTACCCCCTCGACCCTCTTTTCGGTCACCCCCGGCCTCAGTCCGAACGCCTGGGGAAAGGGAATCCGCAGCTTCCAGGCTGGCCCGCGGAGGTCCGTGCGGGTACTGCAGCCCTGGGTGAAGCGACACGGGACAGGGGTGGAGGACCCCAGGGGTTGGGGGAGGGGGTCAGAGGGCTTAGTCTTCCCCAGCGGGTAGGCTGAGGGGGTTAGTTATTGGTGGCTCCAGGCACCTTTCCCCTCGGCCTGAGCCCGAAGCTACAACCTTACCTCTTCCCGCAGTCTTGCACATTCCTCGGGCCACGGCTCTCCCGGCCCACTGGGGCCACGGCCCTCCTGGTGACCGGCGCCCGACCGGGCAGCCCGGCCGGTTGCCTGGGCTAACGGGGCCGGCTCGGGGCCTCCCCGCTGAGCTCTGCCCAGGCCCCGGCCGGGGCCCCGCTGCCGGCCCCGCCCAGCCCAGCGCCGGGCTCCAGTACACCGCCCGACTCCAGCTGTTCCGGATGCGGGGCGGGGGCCCGAAGGGGGCCGGGCCAGGGCTGGGGCTGCGCTCCCAGGAACCCGCAGGGAAGCCGGGTTCGAGTCAGACTGGGGGCTGGGAACCCTCCGGGGCCGACTCTGTGTACATCAGGCGAGCATTTGTGCGCATCGGTATTTGAATGTGTTTACGTTTTTGAATATGTACATTTGTGTGGAGTTCGCAATGTGTATATTTGTGTAAACATATGTAACCTGTGGGCATTTAGGTGTATTTGAATCCTACTTGTATCTTTCATTCCCCAGAGACACCCAAAGGGGCTGTACCCCAGGCTCTTTTTACTCTTGCTTCCCTCCCCTGGTTTGTATGGGACCCTTGGCCCCACCACCCTATTCTTCCCTGTCTGTGCCTGAAGAAAGGAGGGGAGCAAGAAGGGGCTGGAGCCAAGGGAGCTGTTTCTCTCCCCACATACAGCCTCAGCCCTTTTCCTGGCTTTGTTTGTAAACTCCTGGGCAAGCAGTGTGGTTTGGCAGCCCTGCTTAGTCAAGAGAAGGGCCCAGAGAGGCCCCTGCCGAGCACTGTGGCCCAGCCTAGAGGTTAGGATGGGGAGAATAGGACCTTTTGGGCTTCCTGGACCCCCTTAGTACTGTCCCAGAGAGGGAGGGAGCCGAGCTGGGCTGCAGGGCAGGGGACAGGTTCTCTCCCTGGATGCCTCCAGCATAGGGGCCTCTGCACAGCAGAGATCCGTTTCTTTATCTCCTGTTTAGTTGTTTGTTTGAAACATGCTTGCAGCTCCCCAGAGTAAAAGGGACAGTGTAGGGAGAAAAGATTCCTGTATTGGGACCCCAGTGCCTGCCCTCATCCTGTTTGGGAGTATTGGGAAGCGTTATTTACCCTTGTTCCCGTCTTTTTCCTGTTTTTGCGGGGAGGACAGGTGCTCAGAGGCAGGAATGGTGAGAATGGGATTCTCAGTTCCCCCAGAGCCACAGAACTGTCCTTAAAGCAGGCTTATCTCTAGTGCATCAGCGCTTCTCTGGAGCCATGAGGTGACGCTGGGCCCTGCAACAGTGGAGTCAGAGGTGAAAGAGGTGGACAGGGACCTGGGAGAGAAGGTGCCTGGGAGCCTGATGGACTCTGATGGCTTGGAAGCTTGGGGACCCTAAGGGGTCCGCCTTCTCTCACTTTCTGCTGTCAGGGTCCTGCCTCTGCCTCTGGCCTCTAGCCCTTTCCTGCTATAACTCCAAAAGCCCTGACCCAGAGCCCCAGGCAAGCCACATCCTCCATGCTAGAGAGGAGGCCTCTCCAGATCAGGGAAGAGGAACATTTGAGGCCCTATCCTGGAAGAAGCTCCATCTCATAACCCCCGGCCATTCTTCCTGGCTGCACCTGCTATTGGTCTGCAGGACAGGATCTTAAGGACAACCTTGCTGTTGTCCCTTTCCCGTCTCTCAGGAACAGTGGAGTTCAGTGTTACTGTGAAGCTGCCAGGAAGGTGAGGAATGTGAATTTGGGGAGCTCTGGGGCAGGAGCACAGGATTCCTTCAATGGGGCCCTGTTTCCAGGGATCTTTAGTCTTTGGCCACATCATGTCAAAGTGGACAGGACATTCCACAGTCATCTGCTATATTACCTCTTAAACCCACTGTGGCCAAACCTCTTTTTCCTGCGGCTCAATCAGAAGGCTTTGTTTTTAGCCTAATTGGTTGGACTCTCAGCAAAACAGCTCCAGCAGGCGCAGCTGGGGGTTCAGGGGGCATATGGTGCCACACACCCATTTTGTTGCTTAGGGTCCCCTATTTCTATCGTCTTATCCAGGTTATGTTCAAAAAACAGATCGACTGTCCCACCGACCTTTCCCCAACCCTGAGGTTTTCCCCTACTCCACACCCAGTGTGTGGGCTAAGATCTTCTGAACTCTCAGAAACCCAAATCTCCTGGCTTCCCCGACTCCTCCAGCACAGCAGGGGGCTATATCATGGGTTTGCAGTCAGACTCCCTCCCTCTCAACCTAGAGAGGGAGATCCTTGAGGGCAGGGACCTTGATCTGGGGATTCCATCCATCCCAGATCTGCGCAGCCAGGCGCGTACCTGGTGCCCTCCCTGTACTGGTTGAATGCGTTTTTATTGAGCAAATGGAGTATAAATGATGGTGTATTGTGGAGGGGGAAGGCTTGGGCCTTGACTTTCCTCTCTCAGAGGAGTTCTGGAGATGGTGAAAATTAGGGGAGTAATTCAGGGGCTGTGGGGGGTGTGGGGAGAGATGAGAGGAAGAACTCTGCCACTGCTTTCTAGGCTCTATCCTGCCCAAGCCACCTTCCTGGGATCCAATGCTGAATTGGGAAGACACTGTGGGGTCTCCCACCCCCAGTCAGCTGAGCTAGTGTCCTCTCCCATGAAGCTGGAAGCATTTGATCCCTGGCGTCTGCTGCACAGGGAATGCCTGTCTTCAGAGCCTAGTTTATACTGTATCCTGACTCCCAAATTCCTGCTTGCTACCTAAATGGCCAGGGTCCAGCCTTATTCTGTCTTCAGTGGAAGGAGAAGGGATTAGTCTGGCAAAAAATCTGCTTTCCCCCTAGTTCAGTGACTATTTCAGACAAAGAAGAGGGAAAGAGCATTGCATGAATTGCCAGGAAAAGGGGACCCGGTAGACTCAAACAAAATGAGTTATTCCTTAGCATAAGAGAATAATTCAAGTAAACTCCCAAAGGTTCGGTCAGCTTTAATCCAGATTGTTTTGGTAGCACCATTTGTTTCCAGATTATTTGTGTAAGCACCAGCCAGAGCTCCCCTCAGAGAGAAACGTTCTGACACTGGTTGAAAGGAGTTAACTTGACCACCAATTGGGATCATTTTAGTTCCCCAGGGACCTGCTACTCTGACACTCCTTGTGGAATTCAGAGAGTGTTTCTTCTGATGTAGAAGTAGACTCCAATAGATGGCCTCCTGCCTTCCTGACTGAACCAGGACTGCCCACTTGGTTTTTATTTTCTGCCCTGGGCCACCTTCAGCAGTAACAACAATAACCATGACAATAAACACCATAAGCCCTTACTGTGTACCTGGCTTCAGGCTAAGAGTTTTGTTCATTTCATTTATTACTCACAACCCTGTGAGGTAGTAGCTACTTTTACCCCAAGTTTGTATATAAGGAAAATGAGTCCCAGAGAAGTTAAGTAACCCATCCAAAGTCACACAGCCTGTTTTGAAGAAATTAGGATTTGAAGACTGGTTTTTCTGACTCTAATTGTAATCCCAGAACGATGGGGATTTTTACCCAGAGACATCCCCACCCCCCCACCCCCGCCTCGTGCAGGGTTCTTTGAATGGGCTTCCAGGGCACTACAGGTCCCAGAAATTGTGTGTAAAATTATGTATGTGAGCCCAAGTGGGCACACTTTTCCAGGGGTGATATTACATAACACACTGGACTCTCTA